CTATTCCAAAACCTGGAAAGGATGACACAAAACCTGAAAGCTACAGACCGATAGTACCATGTAGAACTATTGACAGAATGGTAAACAACTTGTTGATTTGGTACTTGGATAATAACGGCCTAATCACTGACTACAAATCTGCTTTTAGGTGAAAAAAGAAGTAACATTGTTCACTTAGTATATCACGAAACCTTTGTAAAGGAAGCCATCATTAAGAAAGAGAATTCACGGCACTATTTAAAAAAAGGCGAATGATATAGAATGGAAATTTGATATCATGAAAGATCTGCATAAACTAAAAAGAAAAGCTGATTCAATTCATAGGGAATTTCCCGAATGACCGAAGCTTTCAAATCTGTATAGGAAGTACATTATCGGAACTGCATTCTTTCGGTGACGCTTTTTTTGTCGTAAACATTAACTCCATAGTTAAAACCCTAAGCCCATGAATGAGAAGCTCTGTAAATGACGATGATTTTCTAATTATTTACAGATCTCGACATATGAATACGACTGAAAGACAACTCCAACAATGCAGCAATACAATACACAAATGGGCCACCGGAAACGGGTTTACTTTTTTCAAAACGAATACCAAATGCTAACATTTCTGCAAATCAAAAAACTGCATAATGACTCATTTTTAAAATTAGATGGAGCAGAATGTCCATTAATTCCAAGTTTCTAGTCAATATCTTTGATAAAAAAAAAAAAATAACGTTCATTTCCCATCTAAAATATTTAAAAACAAAATGTAGCAAAGCCCTATAACTTCTTGGCCCATACATAATGGAGATCAGATCGACTAATATTGATCAAATTATACAGATCACTACTTCACTGAAAAATGGATTAAGCTAGTTTCATATATAGAGCAGCCATAAAGTAATACCTAAAAATTCTCAATGCAATCTATCATTAAAAGGCCTCAGATTAGTACTCGGGACTTTTAGAACATCCCCAGTTGAGTGCTTAGAACCTAATGAAACATCTCCACATTTACGGTACATTAAATTTGAACTACAGTATTATGCAAAAATAAAACCATGCCCAACTTATCGAGCTTACAACAGTATCTTTGAACGATATTACTGCGCTCTATTCGGACAAAAAGATAGTGATATACAACCCTACGGTCTCAGGATGAAATGCATTGCTGAAGAGTTAGGCACCACACTCTCAAATATACGAGAAACGACTACAGGCATTATTCAACAATGCACTATTAAGGAACCCGAAGTTCTGCTAGAATTACATAATCTCCCAAAACCAAAAAAAAGCACCATTCACATTCCAGGATAAGCTCCAGGACATATTGGTAAACTCCCTAATCATACATCCATCTATAGAGACGGGACAAAATGTGAGTACAAGATAGGATGTGCAACAGTGAGTCGAAATATTGCCAAAAAATGTGCCTCCCAAAGGGAAACTATATTTTCACTACAGGGTCTTATACAATCGAGCTAGTTCTCAACATTATCTCAGAGAGCAAATAAAAAAATTCTAATTTTTTCACTCTCCGTCCTTTTGGTTTTGAAGAAAAAAAATCCAAGAACACACTTACGAAAATATTGTATAAAATGAGCACTATTAACAAGCACAAAGACATTAAACTATGCTGGATTACTAGCCATATCGGAGTTAAAGGTAATAATGACGCAGATCTGGCAGCCAAGTCAGCTTTAGATGTGAATGTAAATAAAAAGACCAAAATCCCATACACATATTGTAAGGAGGTTATTAATAAATACATTAAAAAAGAATAGCAACAGCACTTGTAAGGTAACCCACGCCATAAACTCTTTGCAATTCATCCCAAACTAGGAGAATGGAAGTCAGCTCCGAGAAAATCTCGTTAGGAAGAAGTGGTACTGACCTGCGTAATTTTTGTATTTTTAAAAAATTTGTAACTCTATTTTTTTCTTAGCCTTATCGATTTTGCTCTTTGATAATTGGTATATCGATGATACATATTCATCTATTTTTGAGATCGAACCGCTTTTACGTTACTCGACAAGTACTAAATCTACATCTTATATCTGTCATCGGATGCCGTATCCACAATTAAAACTTTATTAATTCGCGAGTATATCTTGTCGTAGTAGAAATTAATTAAAAATTAAAATTGTAGTTTCGACCCCCTTGTATTTATTTCATACGAAGAAATTTAGAGATCGATATTTTATATTTTAGCGTATTAAATTATTGAGTTGAAAATGGTTTAATCTCATTGATATATTTTTCATATACTGCCTCTTAAATAGCATAAGATCCCTGAAGTTAGGAAAGGTGGAGTCTGATCAGTATCAAGATGGCTGACCACTTTGGAATACCAGTTGTTGTAAGCTAGGATGTGCGGTTGGTGTAATAGTTAATGGCTCCGAATTGTCAATCGGAGAGTCGAGTTCCAGTTGGGTTCGTTATTTTCGCTTACACCTAAATATCCCTGGGAATTGAATGAATTCACTTATTTCCACCAGTTAATTAGTAATATTTGTATCACTAAATCATTATTAGCTCTAAAAAGAATTTTATAATCTAAAGTACTTTCGGGATTTAAATAACATGCAAAGGATTGATAAGACATAAAAACGAATCAATCAATCTAAAAAAGCAAACTAAACTATTTTATATAATTTTTACCTGCATGATACTAAGGTACTAGAATGTTGCCGGCAGCTAGGATAGTAGTTGTAGTACCTTAAACTAAATCATGAACGAAAATAGTAATAAACGTCTAACGTTGACAAAGAGCTATTGAGACCGCATATATGTTCTACAGCTTGAATTTTATTAAGTTCAATCTTTTATCATTTTCAATGAATGAACGGTTAATTTAAAATGCGTATTACTCTATCGTTTTAGTAAAAGCAATAAAAAGTAACAGTGACATCGCAGATTTATATTACTTTTTATTTCTCTATTATTCAAAAGACAAAATTATGACATATGCCACTCGTATGATTATAAATATATTAAACAAAATTGGCAAAGAGTTTGGTATATCTTAGTAATGTGGGAATAATTGTTTGGCTCAGATTTTTGGGAAGGCGTTTTCAAATTATACAAAGGATGAATGTTTTCTTATATATCTTTAAAAATATATACTTCTCTCTATTTACTCATCACAGAAAACCATCCCTGCCCTTCATTAGAATGTCTGACGCTCAACTTCTCGTGAGTTCCTCTTTGCGACTGCTCAGTCTCAGGTTGACTGCTGACCTAAAATGGAACAAATACATTGAGTCAATAGCTTCGTCCACTGCAATGAAAGTTGGCTCCCTGTGCTGCGCCAGGAAATTTTTCTCGCCGGAGTCGATCCTTCAAATCTACAAATCAACCATTCGCCCTTGCATGGAGTAATGCTGCCATATATGGTCCGGTGTCCCTTCTATTTGCCACAAGGTTCTTGATAAGATCCAGAGACGAATATGCAATATAATTGGCCCTGATCTGGCATCTCGTCTGCAGTCGCTCTCTCACAGACGTGCCGTCGCCCCCCTCTGTCCTTCTTTACAAATACTTTCATGATAACTCCTCCGATGAGCTGCTTTCGCTGGTTCCCAGACTTCATGAATTTAAGCTTTCTACTAGGCGGGCATCTCGCTCTCAGCCTTTCACAGTCGAAACTATAAAAATGTAGCAGTCTCTTCTACTCCAATAGCTTCATGTCTCGCACCTCTCACCTGTGGAACTCCATCCCCTCTTCCTGTTTCCTTGATAGCTATAATCTCCAACTATTCAAATGTAATGTCAATCGACGTCTCCAGATGCCCTGATCTATCCCCTATCCTTCTCTTCATCCTTTCCTCTATCTCTCCTATTTGCTCTCGCTCCAACTCTTTGTAACCCCTTGCGTGCTAATCGCTTCCTGCCTTGCTTGGGGTGAAACGCTTAAAAAAAATATCAAAAACATCTTCATAGCTGTTTTTATTCTTTGCAGCGAATTATTTGACATTGATTGTATTTTTAATGTGATTTTATAAGCAACTTCTCGTTTCATTTTTCTTTTTTTTCTTTGTTTTTTATTTTAGAATTTTTTCTTTGCCATAAATAAAATTTACTTAAAAGAATAATTTGTAAATTATTTTTTAGAACATTTTTCTCAGAAGTGATTGCTTTTAAGTATTTATTCCAAATTCGTTTTATTTTTATTTTTCCCCATATATACTATATTTATATATATATATATATATATATATATATATATATATATATATGTATATATATCACATATGAAAATTTCCTTTCCCTTTTTCCCGTCAAAAGAAATAAAAATAAAAATTGCACGAATTAAAATGAAAGTATATATTTTGTGCATTGTTTTTTTTACTTCTTATGTGATCACTTGCACTCTGTCGCATCAGTTTAATGATTCTCAGTTACTGGCTTGAAATACGCATGCGCTCAGTTTAAGTGATATTGAAAACGTCGTTCGCTACTGTGGTATCCATTTAACTTATAACAATCCTTATGCTAGAGAACATTAAAAGCTTTTAAAGACAAATGCAAAACAAAATCGAACATTGTGACATAATTTAAAAGCTAAAAACAAGATATTTAAAATGATGTGATAGATGTTAATGAGATATATAATGACAGAGAAAGTGTCCAGAAGGCAAAATTATAATCTTATTAACTATGAAATACTATTCTAAACTCTTTCTTCTTCATTGCGTTTTGAACGAAGATGATGTCTCACAATTTGATATGATATATTTTAGCAATTTATTTTAAATTTACCTGGTTATTTATTTTCTCGAATTGTTTATTTTGACAATGTGTACAAATATTTTTGCTGATGAGAATGGTTGAGACTTGGCAAGCAGCATTTCTCCCACATGTTGAGATATTGAAATTACAACGAAAAAGAAACAGAGAGTGATATATAGAGATTTCGAACTGATTAGAAAGACGTAAAGATTAATACTGAAATTTTGATGGGTTAATTTTCTTAGAAAATTGAAAAGTTTGGTTCCATAAACGTTACATTAGCATTAATTTCTGTTACTTAGAGAAAAGAAAAAAAGGCAAAAAGAAATCATAAAACTATCAGATAAAAAGCAAAATAAGATAGATAGATAGATAGATAGATAGATAGAGAGAAAGAGAGAAGAATATATATATATGTGTGTGTGTGTGTTCAAGGTAGAATTTGATGAACTGAATAAACAAAACTGCATCTCAGAGCTATTATATAAAAGCTGAGATAAATAAAACCTAGAACAATAGCAAAAGCAGAATATATGCAAATTGAGATGAGACCAATGATTGAATAGAGTAGGTTAATTTAAAAGATGTGCCAAAAAGTATGGCTGGGTTGGAAGTGTGTTCTGTTGGGAGATAGGCAAATGATTGCGCACTGATCATACAGAACAATATTACCTGCCCAAACAAGAATATGTCTTGCAGAAAAATAAGGAATAACCGCTGGAATTCGGACAGATCATTCAATCCAGGCCAGAACCCATCTCTACATAGCATGAGCAAAAAAACATATAAATCTTTATCGGCCAAATGTTAGAGCTAACTCCCTTAGTATAGTTTTATTGTCGATGTTGAATAAATTTGGAGGAAGGACCGAGAGTTAGTGTTAGTGTTAACCTAACCCTAACCCTGTCTTACGCCTATTTGTATTTTTGTGTGTCTACTCAATTCATTTTCTTGTTGAGATTTCTACGAATTTATTTCTGCTCGCTTTAGGAAAATATATCTACATTAACAGGTTATTTGGGATTTACCCTGTCAATCGTGCCCCGTAGCCGTAACGGTAGAGGCACGCTTCGGCTCAAGAAGTGGTTTTCCTGAGGTAAAAATAAAATGTAGGTTCGATTCCTGTCGGGGGCTTAATTTAGTAGAACTTCTCCATTTAGGCCGGTTTTAGTCATTTCATTGTTTAATAAAATAAAAATAACAGGGGTAACATCTTAAATACGTGCACACACTAAAAATAAAGTTTGTTGTAATAGGAAATATGCGCATGATGGATGAAATAGTCATTGATATTTGTTGTTAAATATTTCACGTAAATATGTTAGCAACCACACTACCTCATTTAAGTAAGCATTATAAATGAACTTGTGTACTTCAAGAGGAAAGTACTTAATAAATTAATCAATAGCAATACAAGGTGTTTCAGCAAAATCCGACACTTGACAAAAAGAAAACGAAATAGGCAATACAAACAAAAGTTGTATATGCAGAGACCCGACAGTTTATTTAGCAACAGTCTCGATGTCTTTGCAGATCAACCTGTCGTTCTGTCTGTTGCTCGTCTGATCCTGGATGAAATTCTTTTCAGCAAAGAACCTCAGCATCACAGTTGACACTTGCTTGATCTCGTTCAGCAAAATCGCCGCCTTGACCTTCCTCGACTCCTTGAAGACATTCGTGATGAGCATGCGGTGAGACTTGCAGTAGGAAGAGTAACCAATGTCCTTCTTGATCGTTCGGCAGATCATCGACTTGTGACAGCCCATGTCAGCGTCGATCTTAGAGTAGCTCTGACTTCCATCATTGTCCACTGTCTCCATGACGGCGGCGACGAACTCGTCGGTCCGAACGGCTGAAGAACGAACGTTGTGGGCTTTTTGTTTGACAGTAAACGCGTCCTTGTTCTCAAACGCCTTCCACTTCCTCCAAATGTCCATGACCATGGTCCTCTTGAACCCAAACCAGGCCATCACTTCCGCGGGCTTCTTCCCGACGCGAAAAGAAGCTACTACCGCTGCTCTGCGCTCATATTCCATCTTAGAAAAAAGAGAGAAAAACGTTAGTTGTCAAACTGTCGGGCCTCTGCATATACAACTTTGCAGATCCACATGCCGTTCTGCCTGTTTGGTAATTCTGCGAGTTTTGCAAAATTTTAGAAGAAAAAGCTCTGGAATATGTGTTGATGTATTAACTGTTATGTTGAAACAGTCTATCAAGCTTTAGATACGAAGTTTGCTCTGTTGCTTTTGATATATAGAAGATATTTGTCAGCGTTTGTTACGTTGGTGTGTGTCTCCACAGCTGATGTGATGCGTCTAGTGTGGTAGTCTGTAGTGGTAGTGCTTGTCGCTTCTCGCTTTCAGTTACCGCCGCTGTCTAGCAGAAATGCGAAAAGGGGAGCCGAGTGCGTAAGTCTTCCCCTGTCAGTATGTAGCCTCTCCAGCAGCAAGCCCTATGTAGTGCCTCTTCTTGGCGACACATGGCAACCGAGCACCTTGCGGACTCGGGCTAAACTACATTCGACGGGGGATGAGTTTGGTCCGCTTAACATGCGGCATGCAGGCCCACTGGTGTGTGGACATGCCCTGGTGCCCATGAATCAAACCCCAGCTATGGGTTAAATAGCTCTACTGCCTTGTGGAAATCTTTGGGAGAAGGAAAGGCTAAGGAATAAACCTTACACAAACCCGGAGTGGAGCCCCTAAGGCGGATGAACGAAACTTTGTGCTACCTTCCGGCAACTCCTGCAGCCGCGCTGGTACCAAAGTGTATTGGTTCATCCTTTCCTTTGGACTCTACTGGCAAGGCCGAGAGGGGGAACTAGACGTCGGGCAGCCCTAGTTCACCATACATCTCGCCCAGGCTCGTAGCTAATCGTCTCCCGAGACGGACGGATACCGAACCGATAGGGTAAAAGTGCTCATTAATTCTTGTGTGTAATTATAATATATTTGTATTTACACCGATATATACACTGAGTTATCGACAGTCTATATAATGTGTTTGACGCAATCTATAGACCAGAGAACCGTCCATGCACCTTTTGAAAACAGAACATCGACAATGCGTTCGATTTGAGGTTCATATATATATATATATATATATATATATATATATATATATATATATATGGATCTACTGAATAATTCTCAGACTTATCAAAAAAGACAAGGCTCCAAAACTTATACTGATTTGTTGTTATGTCTTAAGGCTTTTTCGAGGCTGTTTGAGCTGAGAATATTTCAACAGAGTCTCACATATGCACCCAAGTACATATGTGTGTGTGTGTGTGTGTGTGTGTGTGTGTGCTCTGGCGTATGTGTGTGTTTGCGTATGTGTGCGTGCACAAACATGGGTAAAATATATTTATATGCTACTTGCATTCACACACACACACACACATTTCTCTTTATACGCTTCTTTATATAAACTTTGTATAGCCTGTCTTTTCACTTCAGATTGTTCTGATGCTGAGCGAGATCAAACGGGAAGGTTTTCTTTATTCTGCCCACATCGCGTTTGCCATTTGTTCAAATTCCACGTCCTCTTAATCCACCATGAACCGACCTCAAAGGAAAAGCATCAACATGTGAGAGCACATCATTCTGACACAATACTGACTCACAAATATCAACGACGATCAAGTAATTGAAAAATCCTTGATTATAAGGTCATTTTTTGCCTTGCACTTTCAAGATAACCTGAGAAAATCCAACAACAGCCTCTGATTTTCACGGATTGATTGCCACATTTTCGATGAAATTCGCTTGCCGAAGATGACTTAATAATGGTGTAAGCCTCTAAAATTAACATAGATACTAAAGTATTTTCTAAAGTTAAGCAGTGATGTAGTCGCTGATTATTGAATATAGCCTCGGATAAGTGAATATGAAATTAATATTTTACAAGCAAATAAAAACTTTTAAGCTGGGTTTTATTACCTTAAAAGATATCGATTTATTTATCTCTAAAAATATTGGCTTATACAAAAGTAGTAAATGCACAATTATGTTGTGTAAATTCTGAGTTTTACATTTGTTGCCCAGATTAGTTCATTCTGTCGTGCCAGATAATCATTCACGCTAAAAATTTGCACTTTTATTAATCTCGCATTCGTCTGTACATTGGATATTGACGCCTTATCTTGTCTCGAGATACTTGATAAAATCCAAAGAACGGTCTATAATGTAACCGGTCCTGACGTGACATCTCGACTTCAGTCATTTTCAAGCGCAGTAACATAGCATCGCCCCCGGGATTTCTGTAATTATTTTAATGCATTTGTTTCTAATGAGCTTGACATGACCTGAAAGTTTTAAGCTTACTACCAGACTGGCAAATCTGTATCATTATTTTACTGTTGAAATAGTTAGATACATCCGTCGTATTCTTATAGTTGTTTTTCACGCATTTCCCATCTTTGGAAATCTCTTCTGATTAATTGCATCCCCATCAGCCACGTATTTTCATCAACAAAATATGTTTGTTATTAACGTACTGTCTGGGACTCCTTCCGTGACTTCCTCCAAAATGCAATTAAGCTGTTACTCGTCCTGTTCAAAAATATGACAGAGGTCTACTCCTGGGTGAAAACTGGTATCGAAACTTTCGTTCAAGCACAGAATTAACTTATCGAGAAAATTGTTCGAAAACAATTATTCAAAAAACATTTATTCGAATTGAATGTAAATTAATAAAAAAAAAATAGTTATAAAGTTTGTTTGTTTGTTTTGTTTTACGGCATATCAACCTCAATGGGTCATTTAATGCCGACAACTTTCTTTTTTTTTTCCTGGTAATATTTGTTGTCAAAAATCTATTTCTGGTAATATTTTTTTCCTCAAAAATGTATAGCTGGTAATATTTTTTAAAAATGTATAGCTGGCAATATTTTTTTTTAAAAACGTATTGCTGGTAATATATATATATATATATATATATATATATATATATATATATATATATATATATATATATATATTTTTCTGGTAATAATTTTTTTTTTAAAGTATTTCTGATATTAAAAGCAATTTTTACACTTTCATAATGCTTTTTATCTCAGTTTCGGTGTTAACTATTTGTCCATAGCTGAGACCCTAACAGGTGCTACCACCCCGGGTCAGGTTGGACCTGGAAACATCAGCCATTAAGAAGTGGTTCCTCGCTCATGAAAACCTCCTGATCAGAGGTCTTGCTGTTGGACGTAGTTTATCGTCATACCCAGGACGGACAGTCATGATGAATGATAATTATTCGTCATGCCTATGTTTCAAATACGTATAATGTCATGATTTCAAAGAGTTAATGCTGATTTACTAAGAACAAATAACGCCCTTGAAGGATGGCATAGGGCATTTTTGCAGCAAGTGTCATTCCATCATCCCACGATATGGAAATTCTTAAAAGCTCTTAAAAGAGATCATGACTTGCAAGAAATACATATTGCAAAACTAATAGCAGTTTGCAAAAATAGCAAGGGTGCCAATAAATTTTTATTACAACGTTTAGGCCCTTCAATATCTGTCTATATTTCTGAGATGAAGTATTATGTACACTATTTATATTATTCGGACTATTGTCCTCATCTTTGTCGCCATATTTATTACAACAGATGATAATTATTCAAAATACAAATATTGTTAATAAAACATAATAGTAAGAAAAAGTTATATGATACTGTACGCAAACAGTGAACTACTGAAGAGTACTCGTTCAAGGATGCCACTAATTTTTTAAGTTTCCCACTTAAATCCTGGCGCTCTTGATCTTTTGGCAACCTGCTTTTAGTTTTGCAATTTGAATTTCTTAAAAGTCATGTTCTCTTTTAAGAGCCTTTCAAAACTAGACTTCAAAATGGCAAACGGATCTGACGGCATCCACGCCGCCGTCATAAGGAAATGTACTCCTGGTAAGGCTCCAGTTCTCTCCAAATTCAGCAGCAATTGGAATCCTGGAGAACGATCGCACCTTTCAAATTATCTCTCTAATAATCTCTTATCGCCTTTCGGCAATATATTCGAGGTACTAATCAATGCTGAAGTGGTTAGACATCATACTTCTCATGACCTCCTCTCAGATAAACGATATGACTTCCGTTTCGCTGATGGGTTATCAAAGCTTTAGATAAGAACGGCAAAGATCAGGCTGTGACTTTCGATATCTAATTGGAGTTCGACAGGCTATGACATGTTAGGCTTCTATGCAAGCTCCAGGGCTACGTTGTCAGACGATGAATATTTGGTTTAATCCAATAATACAAATAAAATTGTGAAATGATGGTCGTTTAGGACTGTCTCGCTCCCAGATCCTTTCATGCGAGTGCGGGTGTCCCCAAAGGCTCTACCCTGGGTTCTACGCCGTTTTTTATATACGTAAATGATCGACACGATGTCATCAATTCTCAAATATGTATTTATGCAGACGATACTCCCATTTACGCCTGACTCAATAGAAAATCCGGGAAATCATGGAATGGCTTGTAAATTTTAACGCCTTCAAAACAAAACTGCTGTCATTTAACCAACACAGAGAAGTTTATATACAGGGTTTTGCATCAAAATCCGACACTTAACAAAAAGAAAACGAAATAGACAATAAAAACAAAAGTTTTATATGCAGAGACCCGACAGTTTATTTAGCAACAGTTAGAGTTACATACTACATTATTTTTCAATGTAACCACCGCCGGCGGCGAAGACCATCTGAAGGCGGAGTGAAGGAGCGGAGTCCTGCTGGTAGACGTAGGGGCGTCCGGCGGTGATCTTGTCCATCCAGGACTTCACCACGCTGCACGACACCTGTTAGATCTCAACGGTGACTCACAGGCTCTTTTGAAAGAAGAACGGAGGCATGACGTCCCCTTCGCTGCAAGAAAATATCTCGTTTGACTTTGACCAACTTATCTACTCTACTTTATATATATATATATATATATATATATATATATATATATATATATATATATATGCAGAAATATAGTCTTAAGGTGTGCTATATTTATGAGATAAAGTGTTCAATATCAGAGATAGAGCGTGTTTAAATATAAAAGTGAACACTTAGAGGCGACAGTCAGTTTCATGCTAGACGCAATCGTCAGGCCACGGTGTTCTATTGTATTTTTCTAACGCTAACGTTTATTATTCATATTATTCAAGCGGACGTTGAGTGGAAATAATTGTGAATCTGAATGCAGTTTTGTAGCTATTTAATAGAGTTGTTTGTTAGCTTTATTATTTATTGTGGTGTTGTTTGTTGTTCATTGCTATTATTAAGTTTACTTTTAGAAATTGCTAATTAGTTTATTATTTACTTCATTTATTTTCTTATTTATTGATTTTGGTTAATTTATTATAATTATTTACTTATTATTTTATTTTATTTTCTTGTTCATTTTCAGTTTTCAATTTTTAAGCAACTTAGGCAAAATATATTTTCATGTCTACATTTTGGCATATTTTCTGATGATTTATTTAGCAATATGTGTTGATCTCGAAAGGTAATTAAATCTATTTTCTCTTCCAGAAAACAAAGTTTAAAGTTTTTGGTTTTATTTTTGTAAAAAGATGTTGGTTCCCATTTTTTTCTACTATATTTTTGTATGATTTTATTTTTAAATTTCGCATTCACGTTTGGATAGCATTGTGCTGTTCGTGTATTTCTTATCTGCAAATGATGTTTCTTTGCGTAGTTTCATTGTTGGCATTATCCTTCTGTTACTCCTGTTTATAAACTTTCCACCTTATCTACTGTTTTTACAGTGGTTTGATATATTACATTGTTCTGTAAGCAATTTCCGTTTAACGGACATTCGTTCTTTGCTCTGCAGTTACACATGTGTTTGATTTATGCTATGGTTTGTTGGTTGTTTTATCGTTGTGTTTTTTATTAATTATATCAAGTTCTTGGTGCAACTGTAACTGATTTTTACTGTGTTGTTTGTTGGATATCTAGTATGTTGTGCTTGATGTAAGTAAATGTTTGTGTATGAGTTTAATGAATACTTTTCCTACATTTTTTACGTTTTTGTTTTTCGGTGTGATGAACCATATGATGTTTATTTTCCTATTGGCTTTTTGTTCTGTGTTGTGTGTATGTGTTTGTTTCTGAAAATTCACTATCTTTTTATAATCTTTCCTGTCTTCGTTCAAGATGGTTTCACTTGAAGAATTGTCAAATAACCTGCGGTAAATTATTTGTGTGATTTCCTTGTTTATTGATGGTGGCTCTTTGGGTTTTGTGTGTATAGAGTGGTTTGTCATGAGGCTTTCTATATAGTCGATATGTATCTTTTTATTATTTCTGTTATATTATTTGTGCAGCTGTATATAGTCCCGTGTCTTTTTCTCCTGTATTTTGGCTAGGAAAAAGGATACGGGACTATATAGAGATGACGGACTTATCCTGATAAGTGAACCCAATGGCCTCAAATTAGACAAATTTAGGAAGAAAATAGTGACAAAAACATTGGATTCAAAATAGAGATAAACGCAGGAACAGCAACAGTAAACTTCCTTGATGTAACTCTTAACCTAAAAAAAAATACATACGAACCGTACAAAAAAGTCAATGACACACCAACTTACGTACACAATCCGCCAACCATCCACCTTCAGCCAGCATACAAATACCCATATCAATCAGCCGCAGACTATCTGATAACTCATCTATCTTACAAATTTTCGATAACAAACACCATACGACGAAGCACTAAAACAACTACAATATACACCGCCACAGCCAAAATGCAAAAACAGAAAAAGAAATATAATCTGGTTTAATCCACCATACAACAAAACCGTCAAAACGAATATAGGTAGGACATTCCTAAAATTAATAGAAAAGCATTTCACTGAAATAAACCGATTAGCAAAAATATTCAACAAAATCAGTTACAGCTGCACTAAAATTATAACAGAAATAACAAAAAGCCACAACAAAAAATGACAACCCACAAAAATGAAACCAAGGAACCACAATGTAACTGCAGCAATACAACATATGTCCACTCCAGGGAAATTGCCAACAAATGAATGCAATATATAAAGCCAAGGTAAGCGCAAACAGCAGCACAATGTACTACATCGGTGCTACTGAAGGCCCATTCAAGAAGAGAAAAAACAACCACAACCTTTCATTCTCCAACAGAAAATACTTGAACAGCATTACACTATCCACATACATATGGCATCTAAAAGACAGAAATATTACACCAAGAATAAGCTGGAAAATATTGAAAGAAGCACCTGGGTACAACAACATTACAAAAAAATGACTACTTTGCCTACATGAAAAAGTAGCAATAATATCTCATACTCTGCAAAATAATTTACTAAATATAGGATCGGAAATAATTTCTAAATGTAGGCATGAAAATAAATACCTATTATCAGAATTTATATCAATTTATATCAAACGGATAAAAAAAAAAACAGAAAAAACACCACTATATAAACCACCATAATACCGCCAACAATTACTCTCTAGTTCAGGCTACCATCATAATAACTGCATTTATTGTTACTATCATTCTACTACCATTACAAATCACTTCTGCCACTTTACAATAACTATGTGTTATACAATTATTATTATCAGTCCCACCCCCATTACTATCACATCACAATTACTATTGTCATATTAGTCCGCAATCACCATTAATGTAAATTACTCCTCTCTCTCTCCCAACAAAATAAATACCACAGCATAAAAACTAATAAGGATTGCAAACTGGAATTTCTACCATTTAAATATGCGCAATCACCAAAAACAAGCAAATAACTGGCTTTGAAATATTAACAAAACAGCCTTAAGAAATTAAAAATAATAGCAATATTTACCTATCATAGTTTTACACAAACCCCATCATACGTGTATACGGGCGTGCGAGGAAATATTATTCAGCGAAAAAATAGAAAAACGGTCTGCGTGATGACATCGCTACATTCACGAGAATTATTGGCTACACATCCCATCATTGAAATTCAGCAATCAAATGCGTGCGTATGTAGCACAACAGCACATATATATATATATATATATATATATATATATATATATATATATATATATATCAAGTCCCATACTGTTCACATATGTTTATGTTCATGTGAGCTCCGGTGGGCGAGCGCGTGTGTATGTATCTACGTACTTCAATGGGTGTAAGGGCGTACATGTATGTTTGTAATAACTATGTGTCGCGTCACGACGACAATTTTTCTTCCCACTTCCATAAAATCAGCAACACACGCAAACCAACATCAAATTAACGATATATATATATATATAAGGGGAGCGCAATTTTTTTTTTTTGTCCAAAAATCTGTAGAATATTTAATAATAAGGTAATAAAATCAGTTTGAATTAATAAATACACACACACATATATATATATATATATATATATATATATATATATATATATATATATATATGTATGTGTATATACGCATATATATATGTGTGTGTGTGTACTTTAAATATATATATGTAAATATATATATATATATATATATATATATATACAAGTATATAATTGGTATATACGGAATGAATTCCAATAACCAACAATTACTATTCTTAAAAGAGTGCTCAATACAAAGTAGAGCAGATATAATTATTTTTTTATAAAAAAATTTATAACATAAGTATGTTATAAAATCACTTTACAAAAATAGCCATTTTGTTTCAACACATCTGTGTCTTATCAAGTGATGATGTTGAAAATAAAAAAAAAAAAAAAAAATAAAAAATTTTTTTATTTTCAACATCATCACTTGATAAGACACCAGTGTTTGAAACAAATGGCTATTTTTGTAGTGATTTTATAACATACTTACATTATAAATTTTTTTTATAAAAATATTATATATATATATATATATATATATATATATATATATATATATATATATTATTATTATTATTATTTATATATTATATGCGCGGTATTTATTAGAAAGCGCTGACATGTCTACATTCACGAGAAAAATTGATACACACCCCATCTCTGAAATTCAGCAATCTAATGCGTATGTATGTAGAAAACAGCACATATATACATATATATGTCAAGTCCCATACTGTCCGCATAAGTTTATGTTTGTGTGAGCCCCTGTGTGAGAGCGCGTGAATATGTGTGTCTGCGTACCTCAATTGGTGTACGGACATGCATGCATGTTTGCGTTAGCATATGTGACATCACGACGACGATTTCCACCACCCCAACTTCCATAATAACACCAATACATGCAACCTACATAAATCCAACATTTTTTTTGTGAAATAAAATTCTTTTCGTTTTTCATTCAAAATACTCAAATTTTAGGAATACGTTTTCACAACATCGCCCACGTGACGACGACGTGATCATATTTAAACGGAACGCTGATCTTATAAAAGATTTCAGTTATCTGTTTGGATTGGTATTGCTTTTATGTCCATCGTCTTTTTCATATTGAATTGTATATGGTCTATGTTTTATGAATATGTTCTGAAGATGGTCTATGAGACCGAAACGTCTGACGTTGACATAAAACATTAAAACAGCATAATCGCATATTAGGATTTTTGTTTGTTTTTTTTTCAGTATATTTTTTCTTCATATATATATATATATATATATATATACATATATATATATATATATATATATATATATATATATATATATTATTTTTATCGCATCGGATATATATATATATATATATATATATATATATATATATATAAAAAGAACATAGAAGTCAACACTTAGAGGCGACAATCTGTTCCATGCTAGATGCAATTGTCAGGTGGCCTGACGATCGCATCTAGCGATAGTAGTTGCATCTTTGTAGTGAGTAAAATGGTTTTGTCTCTATGATAAAATTATAATGAATATATATCTATGTATATATACATAAATATTTATAGATAGATAGATAGATAGATAGATCACGCAGAAGCAGTCGTAAACGAAAAAAAAACTTGAATAGGCTGAATTTGAAGTAAACAAAAATAGACCAAAAGACGGCGAGTATTTTTCAAAGTAGAAAACCGTATTCAGCTGAGAAAGTAGGGCCGGAGATCAAATATCGATTAGATGCAGATCACAAATAGCATGTTGACAGTTTCGTTGAAAAGTCTTTCGGAAGTCTCAAAGGAGATTTACAAAAGAAAGACATCAAGTGGATGGTGAGTATGACGATATGACTGAGAAATCGTATGGAGGAAATTTTGGGTTGGTATGTGGGTAAAAAGAGGCAGTCGAATGATTCCGCAGGCCCGTGTGTATATACACAGACGAAAAAGTTCAGAAAACAATGGCGGAAAGGAAACACATCAGCGCGGAAAATATAAAAAATAATCGAGAGCTCGACATCGTGAGAGAAAGAGAGGGATTTCTTTCTTTATTTAAACAATACAAAACGACGTGAGCGTCTTTTTTTATTTAATTTTTAACGTTATATATATATATATATATATATATATATATATATATTGCTTTATGTTCTACCATGTGTAATGATGGAGTAAGCAGTACCTCGAACCATCGCCAGTGAGACACGTTGCAAGAGCCACTCCGTTTCGCGAGGCTTGTCCCTTAATAGAGATGCCATCCCGCAATATTCCAAAAGAACGCCATCGAAACGAGGGCCAATAACCCCAGAAGTCTCCACTGCCACAGGAGTAATGAAAAAAAATCTATCCGCAAGAGAAGAATATTTGACAATTTTTTTTTCTCTCTCTGCGTACCGGGCGACAGACCCCGGCTCAACCGTGGACCTGATCAAATTACCGGCCGAAAATGTATCCGCACAGGTTGCATTCCAAATCAACAACTTACCCATTTTAAAAGGGAAAATGGTAATGCAATCCGACCGCTTTCCATCACCACGGTCGAGGCTTACAGGGTTGATTTGGGAAGAGAAGCCAGCTGCATCCAAACCTCTTTTGATGATGTCGTTTATTGCTGCATGCCGTGGAAAGCGGCCGTCACTACGACGACAGGAGAGTGGATGCAAACCAAAGTCATCGATGGCAGCTCCACATCTGCATCTGTGACGGTCACATAATTTGAGTCGAAGACAGATCGTGACTCCGACCCGAGTGCACTCATCATCTAGAAGGGTACCGGTAGATGAAGGGTGCATTGCTTTGAACCAGGCGCCACTACTCGGTTGTGAAACAGATAGTAGACAGGCGAGGCGATGCTGATCCAGAGAGAGCCTCAAATTAGTAAAATTGGCCTCGCATTTTATTTTATGCCAGATTTTTTTATTGAGAGAGAGAGAGATTGAGTGAGAATAAATAGAGAGAAAGCGTGAGAGAGTGAAGCGATATATTGATAGAAAAAGGAAATCGAGTGTGAAACCAAATCGAGGGAGACTGAGAGAAAAAATGTTTTAAAGCTGATGCCGAGAGAGGAAAGAGAAAGCGTGAAAAGGCAAAGCGAGAAAACGGATTGGATGAGTCATCAGGAATAGAGAAAAGTTGAGAGTGAAAGAAAGCCGAAATTTAAAGACAGAAGGACGGGAGAGGACCTAAAGCCCCAGTAAAAAGTAACGAGAGAGAAATAAACGGTAAAGAAAACACGAAGAAAATGAACGAAACAGAAATGAAAAAGGAAAAAAAAGATATAATGAAAGAATAACTTGAAACGAGAGAAAGAAATGACAAACAGAAATGATAATGAAAGAGAGAAACAATACAGATGGTGGGAGAAAACTAGTGACATAGACCAGAGAGAAAAGAGGAAAAGCCAAAAGGAAGATATTTACATAGATGTATACATACGCGTGTGTTAATTTCGACAGACTCTCATATGTACAGATATATATATATATATATATATATATATATATATATATATATATATATATATATATATATATATATATATATATTTCATTTCAGTTTTAAGATTTAAATACATAATTTATACGATATTGATGATAGTTCATTTTATGTATAAGTATGTTAGAGTGAACAATGTAGAAGCATATCTTATTTAGTCATTTAGCCCCAAGCAAGTCGATATTACCACTGAGACGCAAGGGAGTACTTGATGTGAAAGAAAATGAGATAACTTTAGTGAGGTGAAAGAACAATAAATTAACATGAATACACAAGATGGTGATTGACGTTTAAAATTTTGAAGATCATTGCTGGTGTGGAAGCTGGAAATGAGAAGAGAGTTACAATAGCAAGAATTGGAAGAAAAGAAATTATTTGAATAGAACTTGCAATTACGTTTTGCTATTTCAACATCAAAGCAATGAAACTAGTACGTTAATTGTCGGACTTAATCCGTTTCATTAATATATATATATATATATATATATATATATATATATATATAGAGAGAGAGAGAGAGAGAGAGAGAGAGAGAGGCCCATTGGTACAGTTGGTATGGAGTTTGATAACGTAACTGTCCTGTAACTTAGGTTTCTTCTAGTATTATCTCAAATCCTCTTAATAATTTGCGACCTGGGGAGGACGATAAACTACATCCGCATGCTGGGTAAGACGATAAACTACGTCGAGTAGCAAGGCCTTTCATCAGGAGGTTTTGAAGAGCGTGGAACCACCTCTTAATTGATGGTGTTCCCATCTAATGCAGCAAGGATACTATATAGTGTATGGAGCTGATGGAGCAGCTTGGGGATAGTATTCGCGGCTCGTGAGGGCACAGTCCTATGGCTAAGGGAAACTCGGATGAATTCCACATGTGACCGAGCGGCGCTATATCGAGTCTAATTCGCTTCCTCTTCGTCACCGAGGCCCGTTGGTAGAGTTGGTATGATGTTTGACTGATAACGTAACTGTGCGGGATTCATTTCTCGATATATAATATAGGACGAAACCGCCGTTCAGTGCTTTCTGCATTCTTTTGAGGTTTCGTCTAGACTCGATGAATTACTTAATTATAATTATCTGAAATCCTCCTAATAATTACTATTATATATATATATATATATATATATATATATATATATATATATATATATGTATATATATTAGTTTGGAAGAAAAGAACATAGCGGTTTTCATCGGTAGACTTTTTAACACTCGAAACGCTGATTAAAACTAATACAAGTCGCTTAATACGGGACATTGCAGAGATTTTCAACATATTTCATCCGAAAGTTTTAAAACACTTTTAATTTTAATACGTGAACCGCTAAGATATGTTGGTACTTCACAAATTAACGTAAAAAAAATATAATAGACTGAATTTTCGTCCACATTTCCCTGTTCAAACGCAGCAAAACGATACTTTTTTTTCAAAAGAACGATATCAGGCGAGGAAAAGTGAGTTGTCTACAACAAAATGGAATGAAAAGGGTCTTGGTTAAATAAAATGAGTTTATGTTTTACCGCTCCAAATTCAGTCAGCATTCGATTAAAAATCAGCATTCGATTAAAAGAGCCCTGAATTGTCAAATCGGTAGAGTGTCATCTTCCATCAAAACAACACATCGCATGTCTCTTTGCAAATCAGGTAGAAATTTGTGCCACTTAGTTGGTATGTCCGACTGCAGCAGCCAATATTCGCCTAAGACTGTGTATTTGGATTATCTGCCTATAAAAGTATCTTAAGGGAAAGAACTTCAATTCTCTGACATGAAGATATTAACTAACCGCCCCACCCGGTCGGATGTGGCACAAGGCGAGTTTATTGTGGGGTATCGCGAAGGCTCGTGCAAAAATTCCCCGTAGACCCTGTCAAAACGGGGTCGGATAGCTGTCTACCACCCCAGACGTGACTCTGCTCTTTGGCATAGCCTCGTCTGGGTTACTCTCTACACAGAGGCAGAGAGTTCGACAAGCACACTGTGGAAGACCACAGTGAATCAATTCTCTGCCATTAGTTCAGGGATGATAGAATCTTGAAAGGTAGTAGAACAATGATACGTATATGTGTTTAAATAAATCGTTTTACAACTTTTTAAATATTTCCTTTGACATTCGCTTGACAAACTTTTGTTGCCATGATTTTATTTTAGAGATATTTTGGCGATCGATATTATAAGTAATTATATGTTTAGAAGTTTTAATTTGAGAATTCTTAGATATTTCCTTTTTTTAAATTGCCAATACATAAATAAATGTCAGTTCTCATAAATGTTATATGTGTTTTTTAGTTAAGCTTCGCGTAAAGACGTCATCATTGTGACCAAAACTTAAATTTAATTATATTACTACAATTTATATGCAGAGACCCGACAGTTTATTTAGCAACAGTTAGAGTTACATACTACATTATTTTTCAATATTTTTTCAATGTAACCACCGCTGGCGGCGACGACCATTTCAAGGCGGGCGCGAAATGAGTCACATGCTTTTTAATATCCATGTCCATAGCAGCGTGTTGTGGGCGTGCTTGTTGGTCTTGGCGTCGATCATTTCTATAGTTTTGTTTTCATTGCCTATTTCGTTTTCAACGCAGTCCTGGAACACTTGTGAAGTTATTTTTTTTTAATGACTCCGTCGTTTTCTTCATAAACTCTTCCTGCGAGGACTTTCTTCATTCGGGGGAACAAAAAAAGTCGCAGGGGGCGAGAGTGGGTGAATAGGGAGAGTGGAGAAGTTGGGTCATGCCTTTCTTGGTCAGAAACTGTCTCACACTCAAGGTGGTGTGCGCTGGCGCATTATCGTGATGCAAGCAACCACCCACCACTTTGCCACCTTTGTTTTCGTCTCACCTTTTCTCGCAAACGCTTCAGTACTTCCAAGTAAAAAGCCTGGTTAACAGTTTGACCAGGAGGAACAAATTCTTTGTGGAGAATTCCTTTCACATCAAAGAAACAAATCAGCATCATCTTGACATTGGACTTCACTTTGGGGTTGTGGTGATGTTGGATGCTTCCACTGACTTGATTGATGCTTCGTTTCCGGCTCGTAGCCATAGCACCAGCTTTCGTCACCAGTGATGACCTTCGAAAAAAGGTCAGGAACAACTTTCAACTGTTCTTTCAGTTTACGACAGGCATCCTTTCAGCCATGGTAAAAATAGACGAAAAGTCGGGATGCACTTCAAGACAAATGTGAACCACGGAGCTGCACGTCTTCCCACGATGACACCAGTTAGCACACTGATGTCTGAGGATTGCCTCAAGTGGCATCTAGCAGTGGAAGCCTGTCACACAGAAAACGATTCCTGTTACTTTTGGGTCCCCCTGCGTACAAGCATTATTGTCTGGAAATATTGATAGTTGTGATATTGATATATGTTGATTCTAAGAACCGAAGAAGGACTTAGTAATATCCCAGTTAGTGATCAAGATAATAGATTTGCAAAGTGAAATATTACTGATATGGTTTTGTCATCAGTGTCAATGGCATTTGCAGATATTACGCGAACAAATATCAAGTAAAAAAAACGGTAAATTCAGAAATAAATTGACAACTAACTAACGTTTTTCTCTATCATGTTTCATGCACAAACTGTAAAAATCATTGTAAATGTTCGAAATGTTTGCCTGAAGATTCTACACAAAGTTCTAAGCATAGTAACGAGAAGGCAATAGCTTTATTCAATGTCATGAATATTCAAGAAATGCATCCAAGGTTATTCAAGTTCAATTATTCCTGAAAGATAAAACAGTGATGATAAATTCGCCGTTTTTTTACTAGCACAAGATAGAAAGGACTAAGTGTGATATACAAAGTTGCTGAAGATGAGAAATCGTAGTGGTTTGCAGTGTGCCTTTAAGTAGAAAATGTTAATGATATTGTCGTTGTTTATGATGATGACGATCATAATGATATTCTAAAAGAGTAATACTTTTAGGAACAATCAGGCTTTCAGAAATTCAAGTTATGACAACCGATCATAAAAATCTAAAAATAAATATTAAAAGATTATTATATATATATATATATATATATATATATATATATATATATATATATATATTAAAATGTCTAAATAATGAAAATTTATTAAACCATAGACATGAGTTAACGGATTTTTGCCGACATCAACAAATTTTCGCATTAAATAATTAGCATAAAAAAATTAAATTCATAGTCTGATAAAAGGTTTAAAAGCTTAACCCAATCATGAGATAGAAAAACCCTTTATGAAGTCGTTAAAAAAACAAATTGTACTTCAGTGCGACGTGTTTATGTACGAAACAGCTCTTTAGAAAAAAATAAAAATAAAAAATAAAAAAAAAAAATAAATAGATGAAATAAATAAAATTTTTTAGACACTTAAAGACGTATTATGGTGCCAATGCTTTCTTTCATCATTTCCATAGTAATTAATGTTGATCTCTTCCGAAGGTGACAATGAAAATTTATGGTCGCCCCAGCCATTTCCATAAATATGCGTAAATTTATAGTAAAGATTTCAAAATTGGTTATTCCTAAATTTTCGCTTGAGGATGAAAAAGGGCTTGATACTTTAATTCAATTTAATTTTAATAATTATATTGAGGTTTTTGGCTCTTGTTTTTGAAACATGAGAACTCTTATGTAGCGAAGGAATCATATTTTTTTAAAAAATAATTATAATTTAAGCTCTACTTCTGTATGGAGCACTGTTTTTTAAAAATAAAAACAAAAATACTAAAGAAGTCCGGATTATTTACCTAACGTGTTCTTTCCTATTTTTCTACATATTTCACACACATATATATATATATATACACACATATATATATATATATATATATATATATATATATATATATATATATATATATACATTATGAAGTGGACAAAATCATTTTTTAAATACTTAATTATTTTAAGACATTTTTGAATTTCATTTGTTTACATTTCGATACGCATTAATATTTAATATGAATTTACAAAGATTTGAGAATCATGGAAAATTGTAGTTTAAAGGCAAAAAAATTGACCTTGCTAACTGAACGATCCTCTGTGAAAGAGACCAACATTAAAGAACGTCAAAAACTTTCACACAAGAACAACATCGGCTCAAATATGGGGCCGCCTTTAAAAAGAAGGTTCTTCCAAAAAACTAGAAAAATTGAGAGAAACATTAAAAGAAAAACGTTATTAATCTGGAGGAATACTAAGGCAATTTTAATCAGAAATATAATTAATTCATCCTCAAAAAATCTCCCTATAGAAAATCCTAAAGTGGTGAAATATATACCCTATATATATAAATCAAATATAATTAATATAAATGCTTTCTTCTTTTAAATCACTCCTTAAAAAAACGCTCCGTCCATAACTTCCAACCAATCCTCTGTTCAAACGCCGAACAATTCACCCGCCAAAAAATATGAAACCCAAAGAAAGACAACGCAGTAAATTTAGCAAAACCTGCCATTGAAAAAAAATAAAACAAAAGTTACTTTTTAATAAGGAGAAAGATGTCTGTCGAATATCTAAACTCCAGGCAGAAAGAGATTTATTCCAATCCCGAAAAGGAACAGATCTGAATATCTTGTTGAATATGAAAAAAAATAATGAATTGGACGTTGAAAATCCCAATAACATCCCAAAACGCAAACGAATATTGACGGTCGCAAGAGCTGGGCAGAGGTCGGAAAAAACCGGCTAGGCTCCAAGAAGCCAATAGATGTTTTGATGTTTATCCACTCTTGTCTTTCTTCAACAACGAAAATGTAATAAAAAAAACTGAATCAATACTCTTTAAACATATTCTCCCATAAATTTTCAACCCTTCCTGTATATATATATACTGATGTCAACTTTCCCCTTGGACATTAGTGGCCTGTTTTATATTTATGACACAATCACCATTTTAAAAGAGGGATACAGGCTCAATGAGAGAATAAAATCAAAGGAGACCTAAAAATAGCCATTTCAATGCAGGAAAATCAATTAAAATCATCGGTTTGAAAAAATGATGGGTAGCAAGGTGTAAATGCCCAGGTCTGACGTCTTAATTTCACAGGGCGAAAATATACACATGAAGGACAGATCGATTATTAAATGAATGCCAGGTGTAATAAAAAGACACGGTTTTCTACTCATTTACTATGAGAGTAATTCTCTAATGGGTTCTCCCTTATTCAGCATGTTTTCAAGATCAAAATTAAAATAGTTTTTTTTGATGAGCAAGTTTTGAAGGCTTTCAATGCTCTTTTAACAGAAATAGATCCGACGGGCAGGCTTTTAAATGCTGGAAGTTACTATAAAGGATAAGGATCTTCGTCTCATTTTATATTTAAACGCCCAATGATCATTCTAAAGCCTGCTTTTGTTTCATAATCGAGCCATTTTTGACGACATCACGTCGGGTATTTATTTCGACACTGTCATGTATCGTATAGGACCAAGTTCGGATACTGACAGCTGGGATTTGAAAACATTTCGGGACTTTATCGATAGGTTAAAAAAAATGTCGATTTTTAAATACCGGAATGATCACCGTCAGAATGTAGTATAGACTTAGACAAATAGTGGCAGGTCCGCTACTGGGGTGCGTTCTAGCTACCTCGACTGAGTCTTAATTATGAGAAAAATATTTTAAAATCTTTTATGTTGTCCAATTTTCCATTAAATAGTTTATTCGGATCATTGTTATCTTATTATATCAAAGTAAACTTAAATAAGCCTAAGGCTGGAATGGCTAGCTACTGGAAAATAAACTCATCATTATTTGGTGAGCAATAAATTTAATTTTGGGATAAATTTAAATCTAATATTAGAAAGCTTGCTGATGTTTTTTTGTCGTCGACTCAATCTAGATACGTTAATTTTTGCAAAAAGCTTGTGATGTAAAAAAAACCTTTGTAGGCAAATAATTCCCTTGATAGTGGTGAAATTTATTTAGCTAATGCAGAGTTGGCCTCCTTAATAGCATCAAGAAAATCAATCTCTAAAATAAAGGGCTCCGTTAAAAATGAACGTCCTTTGATTTCCATGATTAAACTATTGCCGCTGATTTGCGTTCAGTGGAAATTGGAATTGAACTCTGCGATATATTGCGTGCGTTACATTACTGGAAAAGAATACCGTGACTTCAAACGCATTAATATGTGAAAAGGAAATCATGAAAAGATCAGTAATAATCAAATGGAGCCCAAAGAATGAATTCAGTTCGACATAAATTTACATTTACAAGTCGAAAATCCTGCCTTGAGGCAAATGAAGCAAAAAAGTTTGAGAAAAATCAAGATGGTCAAAATCTGGGAAAACTGAAGCAGATTGGCCTGGATGAATTTTATTAATGGTCTTGTCTACGAAGTTTACTTTTTTCTGGAAGTTTTTTAGCGTTTGTGTTCCTTGCTGGAACTGATTTTCAACAATGGATGAAAAGGGTCTATACCACAACGACGCTTCAGCAGGTGTGTGAATCAAGTTAACCGCAAAGACGAAAATTTTTAGGGATGGGTTAGTTAATTTTTCGCCCTTTAACCATGTTGAATACAGAGTTAAAATTTTTTCATAAAAATCTTGAATTTCCGTTCGTAAATGTCCTGTCTAGTCTGATTGGCACCGAACAACTTGTGCTATAAAGGGCATTCAGACTATTTCAGGACAATCTTCATATGTTCCGCTTGATCATAGAAACCATTCGACAATGAAACCGCGCAGATCAATTTAGATCAGTACAAGAAAATTCGATAGAGTTGACCATCGAATTCTGGAGGTTGTTCTTTCAGCACCCGGTTTAGGGCCATATTTTCGTACCTGAATCACTTCTCTATGAAACTCCCGGTGATTTATCCAGGAAGTGGATGGGGTAATTCCATTCGTCATTGGTTGTCCGCCTTTCGACTATGCTTTATTTGTTCTTGAGATTGGAATTTTTCAAAAAATACAGGTTTGTGAATCTGGTCCTGCAGAATTTCCCTACCTGGTGAAATACCTTGGTCAGATATTCTATGTATACCCACTTCGGTTCTTGTAGTTGAATATTTCTGAATACGAAAGTCAAAAAAACTCAGTAGGTACT